TTAAAATTGTGGGGACAAAGAGAAGCAGGGACCAGAGTGCCAAAATCTTGAGTAATTGTGCACGTGGGGTGGTTTCTCTCCAACAGGGTGTAGAGTGTGCATGGTTGTGTTTTGGAAAGTACATAAAGGACAGAATTCAAGATTTTCCTTTACTTCTCCCAACATTAACCCTGAATCTATACTGAAGACAAAACAGCCAGGAATACGAGCCACAGAGGACATCAGCCCCTCCTGTCAGGCAGCTGCCATGGCATGTCACATCTGGGACTAACCTTTCCTCCTAGTCTCGAATCCCAGCAAGGACCCAGTGTCCTCTGTAACAATCACTGCAACCATGCCTCGGCTCTCCACACAAGACCTGAAGCAAGGAACACGAGGCTTGTGACTGTTAGTACTGGTGGCACCACAAACACTCTCAGGTTCCAAATGTCCCCAAAGTCAAATCGATCGGTGCTCTCCTGCTTCTCCTCTGAAGCTTCCCCTCTTCTCTGCTACCAACAACAGCTCCCAAGTCCAAACCACTTGACCCTCATTCTAGAGCTGTGCAGTGACCTCTTAACTGATTTCCCAGTTCCTGACGTCTCCCTTCTCCCATTCATAATACATACTGCTGTTGTGCACTGTCCAGTCAGAACCCACTCAGAGCTGACCCTCCTGCGGGTTTCCAGAGGTTATAAATTGCACGGGAGGAGACTGCCCATCTTTCTCCAACAGAGCAGCAGGGGGATTTGAACTGCCTGCCTTCTGATTAGCAGCACAACTCCTGACCACTAGGCCATAAGAACTCCCTGTTTTCTCCCTATAATCATATAATACGCCTATTCAATAAGCTTCAATGGCTCTCTGCTGGGTAACAAAAACCTGCCCTTCTGATGCCTCCCAAGACCATGTGCTTATTTTTCTTCTCCAAACTTCTCATTACTCACATCTTCTACGTTCATGGATTTATCACAGGCTTTCTTGTACCTCGCTATCTCCAAGCACCCAAATCCTGTATGTTCACCTTCAAATTCAAAAGCCATCTTCTCATGAAGCTTTCTTTAATGCCAGCTTTAAAATATTCCCTTCCCTTTGAATTCAGTCCACACTTGACAAGGCACAAGGCAAATGTGCTTAAAGAGCACCTGAAATGTGGCCCATAGGACTTGAGGAACTGAAATTTTAAATTTACTACATTTTCATTCATTTACACATAAGTTATAAAACTGACACTCAAAATTTATTAGAAAATTTCTAAGTGTGCTCGCAAAGTACTTTCACTGGAAATTCCCTATCCAAATTCAGAAGTTCTTTTAAGTATGGGGGGGATATCACATTAAAAATTTTTATATTGATAGGATGCACCAGAGCGAGGACATGCCAGAGAGAAATTCAACAGAGGAGCAAACAAATGCTGGCGAGGTTGTGGAGAAACTGGAACCCTTTATTCACTGTTGGAAGGCAGTATGGCGCTTTGGAAATAGAAATACCATTTGGCCCAGCAATTCCACTACTGGGAATATACCCTAAGTAAGCATAACTGCCATCCAAGCAGATATATGCTCACCTATTTTTATTGTTATGTTTATTGTTGCTTTGTTCACATAGCAAAGTTGGAAACAACCAAAGTGCCCATCAACAAACAAATGGATAGAGCAGCTCTGATATGTTTACGCAATGGAATATTATGCTGTACTGAAAAACAAGGAACTCGTGAAATATTATACAAAATGGGTGACCCTGGAGGACATTATGCTGAGTGTAATATCTCAGTCACAAAGGACAAATACCGCATAATGCCACTGTTTTAAAACGGGACTGACACTGGGATTGGGGAGAACCTAAGAAAAGGGGATAATAATGTATACTACATTGAAACAGATGAGAGAGACAACTGTTTAAAAGTAATATATGATTAGGTATTATTTTCATGACAACATTCCAGAATGAAAGCTGCATAATGGAGTGGACTGGGAGGGAGGGTGGGGAGGGAGAATGTATAACAATGAAAGAATTTTTTTTTCTTTTCAAAGAGAAAGCGAACTCAGGGAGGGGGTGGGCAGGGAGGAAAATGTGCGACAATGAATGAATGGGGGGAAAAATTAAATGGGATGAACATGCTATAAAAAATGTTTAAAAATTATATTGACAAAATATTGGAATATCTCTGACATACTAGGGTAACAAGGTGTATTATTCTTAGTTTTTAATGTGGATATGAGAATATTTTCCATATGTAACTGACATTATACTTCCAACAAACAATGCCTAGCCTCTGGCAATGATCGCTTTTTATTTTGAGTTAGCATTTTTGAGGGCAACTTATCTACTCCTTTTTTTTTTATTAAATGTCTTCTCAACCTCTCTTTGACAGAAATAGTAATAGTTAATACAACGAGACTTGCTATGTGTCAGACATGTATTAAACATTTCACATCAGTTAACTCATTGGTGCTGTAGGTCATCAGGTCAATTCCTGCGCACAGCAGCCCAATGTGACAGGGCAGAACTGGCTGCAAAGCTTTCTAGGCTATCATCTTTACAGCAACAGAATACCATGCTCTTTCTCCAGAGTTACTGACGGGTTCGAACTATTGACCTTTCACTCTGCAGCCAAACATTCTAGCCATTGCACCACTAGAGCATATACTGTTACAATTTCCTATCCACAGACAAAAGAAAAACCCAGATGCAGGGTGTTTAACTGACACTTGGGATTTGAGGTCACTTTCCCACGGCCAAGGAGCTAATAAGTGGCACCTGTGACATGTGGTATCTGGCTGAAGACAGGCCTGACAGCCCCAGCACTCACCTGCCTGGCCGCCTGCCTGCTCTCTGAGTTTGCCTCGGTACCTCGTTGTGAACAGGTACTTGGGAAACATGCATCGAACAAAAAAAAAACACAATTTCTTCTGCACACACAGCAGTCAGGTTACAACAGCAGGAAAGATGATTTAAAAAATGCCCAGGGACAGGGAGGAACAATTCAAGTCTGTGAAGCAGGAACACGACTCTGAAGACAAAGGAATGGCTAATGTTGAGGAAGGCTGACTTTCGATTTCTACAGAATGTTGCTGGGAGATACATTTTTCTAGGCTGTCAGACTTGGCTTTCCTAATTGAAAAAGGAAAACCAAACTAATTCTGAGGGTCTAGGATCATTAGCACGAGATGAAGAGCTGAGAAAAACTCCTGAACATATGGGCTGATGATCACTTATGGTCTGACAGGCCCACTGTCCTTCGGGTTTAATAAGGTACTGCTTTGAGTGTTATTAGCCACCACCTAACACCAAAGGTGGAGATTTCTTTAAATATCATCAGCAACTGTCCAAAGAACACTGTTAAGAAGGGGGTGTGGGGGTGAACAGTGGTTCCAGAACAGCACCCAGGACTGAAGAACATGAAGCCAAACCGCCGTGGCTACAAGAACATTCCCTTTTAGTGAACACAGAGCTCGTATCCTAAAACCAGAAAAATGAAAAACGAAACACAAACTCTTAACCAGAAACCTTAGACTTTAGATTCATGTAACACCCATAGAACAAAGATCGCTCCTTACAAGGAAGCCACCCCTAGAATCAAAGTTCACAGAGAAAGCAGAGTCGTGAGGAGGTGGGGCTTCCCAACAGCCCCAGCCTGGGAGAACCTCTCAGAGGAGGAAGGCAATTACTAAAAGACACCCCTGGTGAACCCAGTAGAGATCCCAATCAAATGATGCCCATGTCTCCCAAAGGCTGGGGCTAGAAAATTGGGAAATGTAGCAAAGACCACCAGAGGGGCTTGAACACATGGCCAGGATCAGACCTTAACTTGAGGGCCGCTTAGGCTCTCTCCTTGTCAGGGCTCCCACCATGACTTGGACTCAGCCCTATTCACCAATCTCTTACCTACAATCTAAAACCTGCTACCCAACCTTACGTCCCATCCCTGCCTTTCATTTGACTGGATTCGCCAGAGTCACAGGTCAATGGTTTCTGAAAACCACTGTAACCTTCCCTGCTTCTCACCTTTGCTCCTACTATTCAGTCTACCTAGAATCCCCTTCCTCTCCCCTCCCTTAGCCCTTTCTATTCATCCAAACTCTATTCATCCTTCAGAGTCCAGATCAAATGCCTTCATTGCCCCAGGAACCATCTCCCTCAGTCTTCTCTCTTTTTTAAACTTCTTGTGTTCATATTTTCTTAATGATACTTACCACACTCTCTACCTCTGAAGACAGATCTTGTATATATGCTCCGTTTACTAGACTGCTTCTTGAGAGGGGACAGGTCTCATCTGTGCATCCTGTACAGAATGTAAGGTGGTCTCTTCCCCCCAACCAAGACTGGAAGGACAGTACTTTGTATTTTTGTCTCATCAACTCTAATAAACTATATGCACAGTGGGAAGAGAGCCTCTCATATCCACCTCTGTAGCCCCTACAGTACTGTGCCCTTTGTGTGGGTATTCAAACACTAGTTGGTTCAATGACCTAATGGAGCAGATTCTACAACTTCTCCATTCTCAGTCCTTTAGTCCCAAATATGAGGTCCCCCCCTTTTCAAATTCAACTCTTTCCTTTTGAGCTCAATGGTATTCTCCATGAGAAAGGGCATTTACTGAGTTACTTCTAGCAAAAATGGATGGGGCTGGAAGAGGCGTCCAAAATTCAGTCATCACTAACAACTAATAAGGTAGAAATCCATGGAACCGGTGTTGTAAGGGACCAGGGTGGAAAAGGCCCAAGATTTGTGCTCTTTAATGTATCCATTACATTACAATAACAATGTATCCATTTATTCTTCTAGAACATATTACAAAATGTCTGTAGGCATTAAAAACAAAGACATCTGGGCCAAATCCACAAGCATTTGGTGAGATTTTACCAGATATAAGGGCCTGTGTCAGGCCTTAGGGAATATGATTAGCTTCAGGCTGACAATTAGGAGCCCTGAAAGCACATAGGCTTTAAGGGTGGCAGAGGGGAATGAGGCAAAGTAGACAGAGGATGAATTGTTCCAGCACCATCTCCACCCAGTACCTGGTGGGCATCTCCCGAAGGGATGATGTACGCCTGAATGGGCTCTGTCACATACTCGGAGTTCCTCATGGCTTGTCTCAGCTGTCGAAGCAGATCGGACGTGATCTTGGGAGCCATTCTGCCGCCTGCAACAACAGGAAAACTTGTTCTAAACCCAGACTGCCTTGTACAACTCCGTGATTACTTCAAAGGGGACACTGGAGAGAGAAGCACCTTCCACATTCTGCCCCTCTTTGAACTGTGACCTCCAAATAACCACCCCACCAGCAAACTAGGCCCGAAGCTGCTAGAATACAAATGTTTGCAGGCCTTAAACATCATTTCCTAACAGCAATTCTCAGCGAGGACACTCTTGATGCACATACCCAAGTTCCTAGGCTACCTCTTTGAGTCCAAGACTAAATGCATGGTCTTCGGTAATTACAAGACTATATGTATTTCTATGTGACCATGGCACAAATAATGCACTGACTTAAAAGCTAATTTAATTGGTTCTTTAAAAAAAAAAGGAAGCCACTTTAATTGGCTCTTTTAAAAAAGTCTTCTTCTCTGAAAATACTGGTATCAGTTAATAGTGCCTGTAAATATTACAGCTTCAGTCTTATGGCTACATAAAATGACTTTCACAGTACAGTAAGTGATCATACACAACAGTGATCATACACATGTATGTACAATTTTCCTAGATCTCATCTAATAGCATATGACTATAAAATCAGGATACAAGACAGAATGGCTTCCAATTTACTTTAAAACAAACAAAAATATTTAACAAAAAAAAAATACTAACACACAACAGTGTAAGTAATGGGAAATTAGGCTGAGGCCATTCCACGGGATTATCATCAAGAAGTCACACTCCAACTGGCTTACACCCTGCGGGATATGAATCCTTTCCTGGTTCATTTACTTTAACATTTTCATCTGCTTCTCCAGTGACATCAATGCATCTTGAGCTTCTAGACCTCAGTCACCAAGGCTGTCGTCAACCCTGTGAAGGGCCGTATTAACCTTGGTCTCACTAAATAAATAAAAGTACTTAGAAAATCACCAAAAAACTTATAATTGCAACATGCTCATGTCCTTTGCATTACAGCTCTGAAAAGTACTCAGAAGGGCGATCTCTCCTTTTGTCCAATGAACTGACCCTGGAATTCTTAGCCTGTCAGAAAGAAAAAGGATCAGAAGTACCCAATCCTTCCAAAGTTTCTACGTCAACACCACCACTGGGTTCCAAAAGAAGCTTATTGGTCAAACAGCTGCAACCAAAGAAGTCCAGCTATAGCAATTTTCTATCAGGATTCCGAAGCTATAAATCTTTCTCCCTCAGAGCAACTGAAGGATTCAGAACAATGACCTGTCGGCAGTACAATATCATGCCCGCACACAAAGAGCTAACACATAACGAGGAAAACACTGATAGTGATAACTGAGAGATGAAGTATATATAGTGCTTCCCCTTAAGGGAAGGTGCATGCCACCTCGGTACCCATCTAACACCAACACTAACACATTACATACAGCGTAACACACAGCATGCAGCACTGCTCAGCCAAGGTCAGCTGAGTAACAACACTCAGTGTGTGCGATCTCTTTCAGACAGAAGACAGACAGGATCTTCAAGGATGTCCTTTGCTCGTTCTCCATCACAGTATACTCTGCAGAAATGTTAAAAGCAACCAGGAGCGAATCAGGGTGTGCAGGCCAGTGGGAAGCCAAGACCAACAGGCCTACAGCATGATGTAACATGAGCTCATACACGCCTAGGTATACGGACAATGACACATTTAAGTCTCTTATATACAAGGGTCTGCTTTTAGAAGTCAGCTCCCAAACGTTCAGTCTTTAGCCCGAGATTTTCCACCCCTTGTAGCTACACTGAGAAGCACACCATGGTCTTATTGGGTGGCTGGGAGGATTTAATACAACTTGTGTGACAGCTGTGAGCCTCACATCTGGTACACTATAGGTGCTAGGGTCCCTATATGCCTTGTGATAGACCAGCAGGGACTGATATACTCCATTTTACACATCTTAACACCCACAGATACCCAGGGGCTCCCCAGGGCCAACAACTTTATTTCTCTCGGTCCAACAGCAGAGCAAGAGGCAAGGACTTTGAACACATTATTGGCTAGTTTCACACAAACTTTCAAAGAAGGTATCACTATTCCAATTTTATAGATAAAGGAATAATAATAGTTAGGAGGAGGTAAATACTTGCCGAAGCCATACAGCTGGATCAGGACACACCAGTACCTAACCCCAGGCTCTATCACACCATATTATCAATTACAACAGACCTCAATTGGCTTAAAAGCAACTGATTCAAAACAAATAGATTCATGTTTCCAGCTGGGATCTACAAGTTGGACAACTGAAGTTCCCTGACCCTGTACTTCCTCATATATTAAAATAAAAGAGGGCGGTGGCAAACTGGAAAGAGAAGTAGCAGACCTAAATTTGATGATTCTATCAGTTTTCCTACTTCTTCCTTCCCCTTTCTCCCATGTCCTTCTGGCTCCTCCTTCCCTACCTCCTAATGTGGCCCAAAACATTGCTGCAAGTATTCACTGTTTTTAAAGAAAAAGAACCCAAAACTGTATGCGACTATAGTACTGATGTTCCAGAGACCAGAGAGTCATGATTTCTTAAGAGCATCAAGGAATCTGTTCTTGATTGGCTAACAGGAAATACTACAGTTGTCCTGGGTTCATATCCACTGCTGTCAGTGCTGACACACAGCAGCTTTCTACCACGTCTACAATGCTATAAATCTCTACAGGAAGAGACTGCCCACCAGTCTCCTGAGGAGCAACTGGAGGATTCAAACCGCTGACTTTTGGGTTAGCAGCCCAAGTTGTAGCACAAAGACTTTTTAAATATTCACTGAATATATTATGAACTTGTCTCCCTTTTCAATGTTTCAGTGAAAACTGAAAGCTAATTTCTCAGGCAGTCATAACCAATAATGGAGTTTATTATAAGTTGGGAACATGAGAACTATACTTTTTCAAGAGCCTATCCACATTTTCCTGAAATGGAAAATGCATGAAGTCTAATTCCCTAACTTACTCCCTTAAAAAGGGTTGTAAATATATAGAAACAGCCACCACCCATCCAGGAAACCAAAGGACAAAATGTGTTTTCATCTTCAGATCCCACTCCTCTTACTCTTCACCACAATCAATTACTATGTCCCTGCCCTCTCATCCCTCCCAACCTGGGGATGGAGATGTGGGTAGAGGAGGGGAGGGGTGCTCTGAAATCCTTCTGAGATATTCAGTCTAACATACAGGCAAAAATATTACCTCTTTCTGCACCTGGATCTCCTGAGTGTAACACCTCGTGAGGTTCAATGATTCTTAAATTCTTCAGCTGACAATCCCTTCAGAGGAGAAAAAAACAGGATGTTGCAGACTTTGACCGCAGTAAACGTGGCAAAGCTTGTTAGTCAGAGGGGACATCAGCTTGACTTAGTCATTTTCTTTCCTGAAAGAGAAGAACTCTCACCCTGTTATCAATGACAGGATAAAGAAAAGTTTCAGGTAACCTTAAGCAGATAACACATCACCATGGCAGGCAGGCTTCTCAGTTCTAGGCCAGTTCTCAATCCTTTCCAACTCTGGCCAATCTAACTGGTCTATGATGATTCTATTTCAGGGGCTATATTTTTCACTTATACAAATTCTTTTTTCATTCTTTTGTTAATCTACCTGCTCTCTTCTCATGGTTGTTGGGAGTCTCTATTCTTTCACTGTGATTTCTCTTCCTTCTTTTGACTCTTGTAATTGAATGCACTTTATCATTTATTTCGGGCTGCTCCATTAGACAGCTCTGGGAGAGTAATCTTCAGATTTGCTGCATCAGCTGCATCTTCCTCTTGGTGAGGCATTCTTTGTGTGTGTTGCATTAAATGCTTTAATTAAATCTTTTACTAATAAAAGCTTTTTCAACAAAAACTAATTTTTCTATGAGAACACTTTAACAACTCCTGCCTTTAGTTGAGGTGATTCCAATTCATAGGAGCCCTCCATCCAGTTTCTCAGCCTGTACAACATGCAGCAGGAGACTGCCCATATTTTTCCCACAGAAGCATGGCTCGATTCGAACAAGAAAGAAAGACTCACAACCTTTGGGTTAGAAGCGCAACTCAATACAGATCACGTCACCTATTCAAGTTGTTTGCTTCTGGGACTAATTTTTTTTTTTAAAAAAAAAAAAAAAAGAAGATACAAGTTTGAGGTCCATAGAGGGAAATTTTGCCAAAAGTCATCCAGCAGCCACAGCTATTCCCACTGTGTCAGGCACTCCCTCTGGCACTGGAGACATAGGGTTGAATTGGGTCTGCTCTTTGTCTTGAGAACTTGAAGCCTTTGGCTTGGCTTGGGAGCATCATTTTCTCTCCACTGGGCCAGCTGATCTCTCTCTATGTTGATGTTACTGTTATTAAGTGCAGTCGAGTTGCAGGCCACTCATAGTGACCCTATGAAGGAGAGTCCTCCATGCTCTCTCCAGGTTCATCTGCTTCTGGGACTAATTTTTATGTTAACTTCCTAGCTGGGAGATTTGCAGAGTGTCCCCTATTCCCACATGGGGACAGTATGATGCCCTCAACTCCAGGCAGAAGCCTACATTTGTGCCTGAAAACCTCCCAGCTCAGTTTTCTGTGGGCCATTTAGACTTCAACGTGTCACTTTTTAGGACCAAAGAAATTCTTTCTTTCAAGTTCAATCAACAAATATCGAGAATCTTCTAAAATCCAGGCTCTATTACAGACATAAAGCTAACAGGACAAACAGTATACTCCTACTTGAAGAAGTTTACAGGGGGAACAACAAGAGAAGGGAGGAACAGTGGATAGGGAATAGGAAAGGAGAGACAACACACAAGAAAGAAACAAGTATACAGATGTGAGGCAGTAAGTACATGTTCAGGGAGGAAAAAGTAAAATAGAGCCAAAACCTGAAGGAAGTAAGGGGAGAAGGTATTGTTATGGAGCAGGCAGAGAAGCCTGGAACAACAGGTGGCATTTGCACAGGCAGTCAGAAAACAGTGAGGGAACAGCGGTGTTGCTATCTAGGGGAAGAACCTTTCACACAGAGGCCCCTGGTAGACCAGGAAAGCCGGTGCTGCTGTGTTTGTGTTTATCACAATGAGTGGGCAGAGTGTTAGCAGAAAAGGTCGGGGAAGGACAGGGCAGCATATCATCAGCCAGAGGGTTTTGTATTCTACTTTGCGATGCACTTGAAGATAATTTCGTTATAACTTAGCCCCATTTCTCTGTGTTAGAAGAGGGATGGGAGCCCACACTAGTCAGATGACCACATGGCCAGAAGCAGCTCGCCAGGTAATGTCGCCAGTCAGTCTAGGCCTGCTCACAGGAGGCTGTTGCTTCACTTTCTCTAGAGAAGATATTATTTAGTAGAGAAGCTATAGTGTTCCATTAAAAAAGCAAGTATCTACTATGAATGCTTGTAGCAAATACTGTTGTTGTTGTTGTTGTTATGTGCCATCGAGTCGTTTCCGACTCATAGCGACCCTATGCACAACAGCCCTAACCCTGCTCTATCCTGCGCCAACCGCACCGCCTCTGACACACCCATCCCGATTACCCCAGTCACCGAATCAATCCATCTCATAGAGGGTCTTCCCCTCCTGCGCTGTCCCTCAACCCTCCCAAGCATGATGTCCCTCTCCAAGGACCCGTCCCTCCTGGCAACATGTCCAAAGTATGTCAGACGAAGCCCCAGAATCCTTGCCTCCAAGGAGTAGCTTGGTTTAATCCTCTCCAAAACAAATCCGTTTGTTTTCCTGGCAGTCCAGGGTACATTCAGTACCCTTCTCCAGCACCACAGCTCAAAAGCATCCACTCTCCTTCTGTCCTCCCTAGTCATTGTCCAACTCTCTGATGCATAACAGGCGATTGCAAAGACCATGGCCTGTATCAGGCGCACCTTAGTCTCCAGAGAGACACTGTTGCTCCTGAGTACTTTAGAGAGGTCCCTAACAGCAGACTTTCCCATCGCGATACGCTTTTTGATTTCCTGAGTGCTGGTGCCAACAGTGTTGACTGTGGAGCCGAGCAAACTGAAGCTGTGAACAATCTCAATCTCTTCGTCATCCATCCTGACGCTGCCAATTGGTCCAGTGGTGAGAATCTTTGTCTTCTTGACATTGAGCCTCAGTCCATACTGAAGGCTGCAGTCCTTGACCCTTCGCAGCAAGTTCATGAGGTCCTCCTCAGTTTCAGCAAGCAGGGTTGTGTCATCTGTATAACGGAGATTGTTAATAGATCTTCCACCAATCCTGATGCCACAATTCTCCTCATAGAGCCCAGCCTCTCGGATAATCTGCTCTGCATACAAGTTGAAAAGGTATGGAGACAGGATGCATCCCTGGCGTACACCCTTCCCAATTTTGAACCATGCAGTGTTACCCTGCTCTGTTCTGACTACTGCCTCTTGGTCCAAGTATAGGTTTCGGAAAACTGAATTTAACAAGACCAAAAGACAATGAATGACAAGTGGGATTTACCCCTGGAATGCAAAGTTGGCTCAACCTATGAAAATGAATTAATATAATGCACCATGCCAACAAAAAAAAAAAACAAAAAAAAACAGAACGCACGAGAACATCTTAACCCACTGCCATCCAGTGATCCTCATGCATGGTGGTCCTGCAGGGCACAGCCGAATGGCTCCATAGGCTTTCTAAGACTATAAATCTGAGGAAGCAGACCGTCACATCATTCTTCTGCTGAGCTGCTGGTAAAGTTCAAATCACTCGCCTTTCAGTTAGCATGTAAACACATAACCACTGGGTCAAAAGGCTCCTACATGAACATCCTAACAGATAAAATACTTGGTGAAAATCAACAACTCTTTGTGATAAAAGAACTCAATAAACTAGAAAGAAAAAAAACAAAGACTTTTCTCAATCTTAACAAGGCATTATGAAGACTACAGCTAAAAACTAAAAGCTTTCCTCTTTCTGAAATCAGGAAAAAGACAAAGACTTCTGCTTTTTGTCACATCTAGTCAACACTGAACAGGAGACTCTCATCAGCAGAATTAAGCAAAAAAAATGAAATAAAGACATTTAGATTAGAAAAGAAGTAAAAGTGTAAATCAGTATAAAATAAACATTTTTTTAAAAGTAAAAGTATTAACTATTACAAATGACATGATCTCCTACATAGAAAATGTTAAAAAATCTGGAAAGGAATACAGAAGTTCAATAAGGATGCAAAAGTATAAATATACAAAATCAACTGCCCTTCAATACACATGTAATAAACAATCCAAAATGAAATTGGTATCAAAAGCAATAAAGTACAACTACAAAAGAATATTGAAATAAACTAAAGAAACCTAAGTAAATGGAAACATTCTATGTTTATGGGTTGGAATACCTAATATTGCTAAAACAGCAATACTAAATGACTCTACAGAGTCAGTGTAATCCCTATAAAAGTCCAGATGACATCTATGTAAAAACTGACAAGCTGATGATAAAATTTACAAAGACATTAAAAAGGCCCATAATAGTCAATGAAATCTTGAAATCGAAGAATAAAGCTGGAGGTTTCACCTTTTTATTTCAAACTTATTACAAAGCTATATAGTTTTTTAAACTGTGTGATCCTGACATAAGAAGAGATTTATAGGGCAGTGGAATCTAGCTGAGAGTCTATTTGCAAACCCTAAGCTTTATAGTCAATTGGTTTTAGACAAGATGCCAAAACCACTTAATGAGGACAATCTCTCTCATAGGTGGTGCGGGGGCAAGTAGATACCCGTAAGCAAAACACTGAAGCTAGATCTCTATCTCACCACATAAGAAATTAATTCAAACCGGATCACAGACATAAATATAAGGACTATAAAATGAAGAGAATACAGACGTAAATTGAGACAATGGCTTAGGTAAGGATTTTTAAGATAATGAAATATAAAAATGGGCACATTATCTGGATCAACATTTCACTACAGAAAATATGCAAATGGTAAAGAAGCATATGAAAAGAAGCTAACATTACTTCCACAGCCACAAATTCGAAATCAACTTGCGGGCTGACTCTCCAGCAGGTTTTCAAAGGCAGTAAATACCATGAGACGAAACTGCCCATTTTTCTCTGTGGAAGAGCTAGTAGATTTGAACAACCTACCTTTGGGTTGGTAGTGCAATTCCCTACCAATTAGGCCACCAGAACACTGTTGTTGTTGGGTGCCGTCAAGTCGGAATCAACCCCATAGATGACCCTGCAGTGGGTTTCAGAGTCAGTTTAATTGCACGGAAGGAGACTGCCCATCTTTTTCCCTGAGAAGCAGATGGTGGATTTGAACTGTGTGCCTTTGGGATTGCAGTGCAGCTCCTTA